AAGGAGAAATATGGAGAAGCTATGCAAACCAGAATTCAACACTGGGTTAAAAACAAGCATCAAGATCATCCAGTGGAAAAAAATTATGGTAATACAGAACATTTCACCATAACAAATGCCAATAGAATACACGGCAGGAAGTTCAAATGTATATATGAATATTTACCTTGTCAAGATCATGATGTGTAAGAGCCACATGATCATTGCAGGCAATGTAGTTCCCGAGAGCAGGTAGCCTCTCATCAACTTTTTGAACAACTACTGAATCTGGTAGGCTGTTCCTCAAATGTTGAAGCTCTGTAGTAGCAGAAAAAATATCAGTGTTATAAGATAAAAATAGGTAGAAGCAAATAAAATGCTACATTCATGTCGGCATAGTCAAATTTGTGTCGGGGAAACTTAAACATATCCGACCAGCAAGAGAAAATTAAATTCACCAGATGTGCTAGCAAGTTAATCATATCAATTAAAAAAGACAGTATCATCCAAAAGTCCACGATCTAGAATACCAGACAAAGTATTAGTGATCAAGAAACAACTCAACGGGATGGAAAACCTGACTGATAACTTCTTAAACACGCCATTAGGAGTTGTTGATATTTCCAAACATATTGCCATGCACTGACTATCGAACCAGGACCAAAGTAGGTGAGATATGAATACATATAAGCAATCTTACTGACTAACCTACATGACACGTCCCACCTTTCTCAATTGTGAGCCTCTCAACACTAATACAAATATATAGTTGCAGTTAAATAATCCAAAGCACTCAAAAATTTCAACAATCAATAACCATATCACAATTTTCTTCTACAGTTCATATAGCAAATCAACCATAGTACATAATCTTGACGGGGTCTAATCTCCATCTTGAACTCCAAAAGCCTCATCTGATCATATGGGTTCAAAAGCATGCATCGGCCTAACCGGACCAGCATTTAAGTGTAGCAATATAAAACTGATACATATCACACATAGAACATAAATTTGAAATATGTACACAAACATTTAGCAGAGCCAACTTCACAAGCCTTATCGGCCATATAATTCAACATACATATGCTAGGGAATATATGGTTTGCACTCACCTTGATCAGTAGTGTTGTGAGGCACAAGCAACCCATTTTTATTTCCTGCCAATGGAATATTTACAGGGGAAAGCTCATTAGCCAGGAAATTCAAACACCACTACCTAAATTATAGCAATCAAAAGAAACAAAATACAAGAACACGCACCAGCACAGAGGCGCCCAATGTTTCTAGTTCCCGCAATTGAGGTTTTAACCACCGGAATTACATGACCCAACTCAGCTTCAAACGTGCTTCCACCAAACAAAACATCAAGTCTCAAACAACGGAGAACAGACACATGACATTCACAAAAGCAGAGATAAAAATGTACCTGTAAAAGTTCTCAGAACCCCCAATTGCAACAAGGCAATAAGCATTGGTGAGCATGGAGAAAACCCCAACCTCACTATTATTCTCGCACTTCAACCCTGTTTCAAACATTTTACCACCAGTTACTACGTAATGATAACAACAGCACTCCAACTAATTATTTACATCATTACATGAGGTACTCACTGGTAGCCATGGTGTTAGGAAAAGGTAGCACAACAAACACAACGAGACCTGCAAAACTGAAATTAGAATATAAATTAATTCANAAAAAAAAAAAAACCTATTCAACTGAGCACAAAACATAAAAATACGCACATTGCTAAAATCCAGCACGTACAGAGGCGCACACAAATGCACCCGATCAACTGGCATAATCGAACACATACCCATAAACAGAATTAATACAAAATACAGTAATTTTATGTACGAGTACACGAAAGTTGACAAGAAAAAATAAGTACGAAACCTGAAAAATCCAACAACGGTTGAAATGATCGGTCGTAGCCCGACAAAAAATTCGATTCTAAGAAACTACGGGAACGTGTTGAACGGTACTACCTAGGGCTAAATTATCTACGAAAACGGTTTCGAATGGGAGAAAGCCCGATGGTACCTATAACCTCTTGACAGTTTACGTTGGGCTTCCTCCGGCCTGGTTAATTAAACAATAGGGCTAACAGGCTGTTGTATTTACCCAATAAATAGGTCTTCTGTCCAATACTGAATAGAATGACAGATTAATAAATATTGCTCCAGTGGTAAATGTATATATACGTTACACAAAACTTGTTGGGCCAACAAACTTTAACCAAAATTATACTAAATCATAGTCCCATTATGAAACCATTCTCTCGAGGTTTGCCCTTAGATCAATTATATGGTTACATGATTATCTAATGGTGACAAATTCCGACGGAATGGTTCCGTAACGAGCCGTAGCATTTCCCTTCACGAGTATTTATTTTTCGAATAGCGAATTAGCTACCACCCATCACCTAACTAATATTCTCCAGGTTTTGATGTTCTTGACGTATTTTTTATCAACTATTTTTAAAAGAGTAAATGAAATATGTTAACACAGTTTTTTTTCTTTTTCTCTTTTATTTGTTATATTATATATGTTAATGCATAATTTTAACATAACATATACCATTAAATTTACAATATAAATTTAGAAGTGTATCAATTTTTTTCTTTTATTTTTCTGTATGTACATTAATTTGCTTTTTGATATAGTTTGTACAAATAAATACCAATAAACTATAATTTAATCAACAACTAGGATTATAAATTAACAATTTTCTTCAAATTTATTTAGTATTTTAGTAAATACAAGTATTTTAGTAAATTTATTTAGCATTTTAATAAAAAATTTCTTCGAAATAATGACTCATCAAGCTTAAAAGGTGATATTTGTGCTTATGTCTTAAGTTAGGTAATATTCATTAGGTATTTTTGTATTAATATTAGTTATATATTTTAATTAAAAATAAAAGAAATAAATAGGACAAACAAAATATTTATTCAGTCTAGAAGGGCTTTCAGATGTAGAAAGACTTCTGGATGTTTGCGTCTCTCTCATGCCACATCATCACATGTAAAAGTAAAAAAACTCACCGTTAGAGATGTTTTCTGTCACAATACCTCTGTAATTCTACAATTGACATACCATTGGAGATGCTCTAAGCCGGAAAAAGAGATTTTCTTTCTTACCTCCAACGATTGGTTACACTTACCTCCAGATTTTCATTATGGGGTGATGGAGGGATTGTACCATTCGACCCTATTAGGATGTGGTTGGAAATCAACTAAAAAAAATTAATTCAACTTTAGTTCACCTCATTATCCTCAACATCAACTGTATTTCATTATTTATCTACCCACATCAACTTAATCAAATAATGCTTATTAATTTTACGTTTACACCAAATCAATTTTAATTATTTTATTTTAAATATTATTTTAATATAAACTATTCTACTAGGGCAGAATCACAGGGTGGCGTGGAGAGGTCAAGCGCCCAGTGACGGAGCCATACTAGGCCCAGGTGGGCCCGCGCATTTTTAAAAATTAGTTGGACTGTTAGATTTTTGAATGTTGATCGATTGAATATTGAATGCTGATTTTTTACTTTTTTTATGTAATCACATATTTTCAATTTTATTTATTTTTTTATTAATAAAATGGTCATTTAATAAATTCTCATCAACAAAAAAATGTTATGCAATGTGTTGCAAAAGTTCAATGTAAATCAATTTTTGAACAAAAAAACTTATTTTTTTCCCATAAATTATAGATCTTAAACTTAAATTATAAATACACGAACTCTTTTTTTCTTTTTGCCTTAAAAAAAAGTTTGAGGGTAATACGGATTCTAAGTTCTTAAAACCTGATAGTACATATATGGATATTTGTATTTATAGTAAATACATTTTTATATGAAATAAACGTTTCGACTTAAACTACAAACTCATTATTTAACATTTAAAATCGGCCCCCCTGAGTGAAATTCCAATATTCGTCACTGCAAGCGCCCATCTCACAGGCTTCCACTAATAACTACTATACAACATTTTTAAAATTAGAATAGAAAACAAAAAATAATTAATCAAATCACCCCCTTAGGGGATGCATGGATGCAATTTTTTTCAAAAATTCCAATCATTTCTAGCCAATTCATTTTTATTTTAAAAAAAACTCAAACCTAACTCAACTTTAACTCAACCAACTATCCTCAATTTTATCAATACAATTATATAATAACACTCAATCATTCTCAAACATTGTATCAACTTTAGTTCACTATTCATTCATTCACATAATTTTAACTAATCATCACTTCACATCATTTCTCTCCCACTTTTACATCAAATCAACTTTAATTATGTTATTTTAAATATTATTTTAATATAAACTCAAAATCTCACTAACAATTAACCATACCACTTTTTTTTTTTAAATTTAACCATATCAAAGAGTTTGTGAAACCAGGAAAGAAATAGTGGACGGCATAGAAGATTTTTACTCCAAGCACTTCACTTCTCAAGAAGTAAAGAATGTTGTTGATCTCCTTAAAGATATACACGTGACCATCACATCAGAACTTCTGGCTGTTGTGGACGAGGATGAAATAATGGAGGCCATTTTCAGCATTGACCCTAATAAAACCCCAGCCTTAGATGTTATGACCTCCTCTTTTTTCCAATCTTTCTAGTCTATTGTAAAATCTAATTTATGTGCTCTTGTTCAAAGTTTTTCTTTTAGCTTCAGGTCAAATGCTTAAAAGTCTTAACCATTCTCTTATCTCCTTAATTTCTAAATGTCAAAACCCTGATCTAATCCCTCAATATAGACTCATCGGTCCCCTTTGCATAAGTGAGAATCAGTCTGCCTTTGTGTCTGATAGGCAAATTTCAGATAATGTTATCATTGCTTCTGAAGTTATCCATTTTTTAAACGGACATAGGACTTGTAAGAAGTGTTATATGGCTGTTAAGCTAGATATGTCTAAGGCTTTTGATAGAGTTGAGTGGGATAGTGCTAGGTAAATTTTGACCAAGCTTGGTTTTCATTCTTCCTTTGTTAAGTGGATTTTAGCTTGTATATCCTCTACTTTTTTCTTCTTCAATCTTAATGGTCAGGTTAGTGGTTATCTGACCCCTTCAAGGGGAATAAGACAAGGTGACCCTCTGTCCCCTTATATCATCATTTTGATCTCAGAAATTCTCTCTAGCGAGTTAAAATGTCATTCTAATTTAGGTATTTTCAATGAAATAAAAATTTGCAAAATTGGCCCAATTTTCACTCATCTCTTCTTTGTTGATGGTACTATTATTTTTCGCCAATCATATAACACTCATGCCAATCTTTTGCTTGATATGCTTAACCATTTCCAAGCTTTCACTGGACAAATTGTTAATTTTCATAAGTCTTCAGCTTTGTTCGGTAGAACAAATCTCATCACCAAAACTAATATCTATAATACTCTGTTAGGAATCTCTCATCATAATTCTTCCAGGTATCTTGGTTTGCCTTTGGAATTGGCAAGTCCAAGGTTGAAACTTTCTCTTTTGTAGTTGAAAAAGTTAAAATACAACTCAAAATTGGAAAAAAATGTTTCCTTTCTCAAGCAGGGAAGGAAGTGCTTCTGAATGCTGTATTGGGGGCCTTGCCAATATATGTGATGTTTTGTTTCTTTTTGCCTAAATCTATTTTCAAGAATTTGTCATAGATTTTTGCAACTTTCTGGTGGAACTCTACTGATCCGAAAAAGATAGGGATTTTTTTGAAAGCTTAGAAAATGATAACTTTGCCAAAGGAGCTTGGGGGTCTGAACTTCAAAGATATACACCTGTTGAATAAAGCACTAATTGCAAAGCAAGTTTGGAGAATTTTTACCAAGCCAAAATTTGTTAGTCAATAGAATTCTAAAGGCTAAATACTTTCATAAGAGTTTAATACTATCAGCTCAAAATGTTCAAAATGGATAATGGTTATTGAATAGTTGGATAGCGGCAAGGGAAACTTTGCAAAGAGGAGTAAGGTATGAAGTCAAGGATGGTAAAACAGTCAAAATCTCGGAGAACCCATTGATCCCCTCTCTGAATAACTCCAGACCTACTCCTCATACTCAAATAAGGTTGTATTTAACTCTATTCAGAGAACTGCTAGATAGCACTGGAAGGAACTGGAACTTGGAGCTGCTAAAGGAGTTATTCAATGAACAAGAGATGGACGAAATTCTCAAAATCAAAAGTATGGACCCAATAACAAAAAATAGAGTCATATAGGATTGGAATTCAAAAGGGGACTTCACTGTAGCTTCAACTTACAATAAACTTGTCTGGAAGAAATTGTGACAATTGGACCAAGATGAAAGTAGCACTGAACAAATGATTGGGAGAAAGGTAAGGAAGAGGAGTTGGGCACTGAAGATCAAAGGAAACCTGAAGCATTTCATCTGGAAATGCTACTCCAGTCTCATCCTATTCAATTGTAGCCTAATCAAAAAGTGCATTAAAGTAGATCACGACTCCTGAATCTATTGAACATCTTTTCTTCCAGTGCCACAGAGCTAAAACGGTTTGGGATTTGGCCTCAATTTCTTGGGATGGGTTGACACAAGAAACAGTGAACTTCAAACGCTGGTTGAAAAGGATTTGTTCCATGAAGTAGAACAGTACCTCTGACTCTAGAATCCAGATAACTTCTTATATTCTATGGGTGTTCCAAAACAGCTTACGTCCAGTCAAGGAGGTGGTGGATATAGCACGCAAAAGAATGGTTGGAGTTTGGTGGGGGTTGTGTTAGGTAACTTTGTAGAACAGCTAGGTTCCGTGAGTGTTCAGTGGTTGTTCTTAAAGTTATCTTCTTTATTTTTTCTGGTTTTTTGCCTGGGTCCCTTGTTATTACTAGTCTTGGTTGGCTATGCAGGTGGTGGTGATTGTGGGAGTGTTTCTAGGTTTGGCAGTGGTTGTGGTGAGGAGTTAGGATATTGTGTACAGGTTGGTCTGCCTTGGTGCCTAGTTGTGAAAGGGCTTCTTATCAGTAGCAGTTGGTTTTCTTCTGGGCCTGTTCTCCTTGTCGTGGAGCTTGTGAACTCCTTTTTATGTGTGTTGGTGTTAGGTATAGTTAGTGGAGTGCAATTTTCTATTTCTTTGTCTTTGCTGCTCTTTACTTCCCTTTGTTTGGGTTTTGCTATTGAAGGACGC